GAGATGCTGGTCAATACTGGGGAGAAGATTTCAAAGCAAAACGCCAACAGGTCACCTAAGCATTTCAACGAGAAGAGAAACAAACAAAAAGAGCTCCCTGCTGCCTGGAACACTCCTCAAACACGAGCAGATCCCGGCTTTCCAAGCTCCCGGAAGCAGCGTCTGGGGATCCCAGAGGACGCAGGGGCAGCAAGCCGGCCACCGGGCTGCTGCTCTCCACGTGGACCAGAAGGACAGAGCTACCCCCACCTAGGAGTTCTCTGAGTGCACACGGGGGTCCTGGGGCGGCCATGTCCGTGGGCGGGGCTGACCTGGGCTCCTTCCTGAGGGCGGACCACCACCATGCACTGCTGGGGCCAAAATGAGGAAACGAGGCAGAGATTGCGCTAAGAGGTCTTGTGGGGTGCGAGGCGCGGCTCCACAGCAGGGAAGGAGGTGGGGCTTCCATACTAGAGGGGGCGGGCTCTGCCACGGGGAGGGGCGTGGCCTCCATGCTAGAGAGGCGGGACCGCAGCTCTAGAGGGGGAGGAGCCTCTACATGGGGGCGGGGCTTCGCACCAGAAAGGGGAACAGCCACAGAGGAGGGGGCGGGGCCTCTACATTATCAGGGGCGGGGCTTCACAACCGGGGCGAGGCCCCCACACCAGAGAAGAAACTCAGGATTGGAGACCAGGTTCACAGGGTAAAAAGCGGGGAAACTGAGCAGAGAGACAGAGACAGAGGCAGGCACGGAGAGAGAGGGTGAGCCCAGCAGCTGTTCTACACACGTGGAACAGGAAAGACACCCAGAGACAAAGCCTAGAAGAAGGTGCTTACTTCCGTGCTTTCCTACCCCGGGAGAGTCCCACGGAAGCAGTCCTGGCACAGACTGCAGAATAATTAACAAGCCAGCCTCTCCAGGCTACAGGACACACTTGTACCAGGTGGGGAAGCAGGGGCTGGAGGCGGCACCACCCGCCTCCCTTGTGAGGGCTCTGAGGTCCGGAGAGCCTGGCTAAACAGCGGCACTGGGGCTTGAACTCGGCTCCCAGGCCTGTGCCCTTTCCCTTAGTTTCCATCCACTGGAGGGGGAGCCTTGGTGACCCTAAGAACAGGCTGTTTGGTTTCAGAACAGAACTGCTCGAAGGTGGACCGGGCAGTGGGAAGGGAAGCAGCGAAGAGGTCGCCTGGGCCTGGGTGCAAATCCTGACTTGGTTGGCCAATGGCGTGTGGCCGTGGAGAAACTCCTGGACCTGTCTGACCACGGTCCCTTCGCCTTTGAGACAGTGCCCCAGTCCTTACCTTGCAGGGAGTTGCAAGGATCAGACAGAGTGTTCACGACGCTCCTAACACAGTTCCTGATACGTCAACGTAAAGAGACTTTGGATCTCAGGCCGTTCTACATCACGACCAGCGCGGCCTCTTCCCAGCGATGGTCTGCCCTCTGCGACACTGCGTTTCTCGGAGGCAGGATTTTGGTCTGATTCATTTTTCCACCCTGAGTGCTTGGCACACGGCAGTGTCTCAAAACAACTCGGGTGAGTGAGCAGAATGAACGAATAGGTGAACTGCTGGGGCTTTTGTTCTAACCCTGTGCTTCTTAAATTAGGAGTCCTGTGCCCGGGAGCGCTCACGCTGGTGGCTGGGCCAAGGGGTCCTGAGGCTTAAAATAGATGCATTCTCCTGGGTCATCAGGTTGACAAAGACTTTTTGTTGAAAATGTGTATGTGCGTGTATGTGTGTGTGTCTGTGTGTGATTTTAGTATTCAAACCAACACGGATATATCATGAAGTAAAGTGGAAATTCACATTAATTTTTAATATAAACCATGACACCTGAAAGTAATTCCGTGTCCCAGCCAGCTCCCCCAGGCCATGCCACCACACCCTCTCCCCAGGCCACGGTGTTCTGGTCGTCAAGTCAGAGATGTGCTGCTCCAAAGCTGAACTGGGACTTCAGACAGCGTGGGAGGCACACAAAGGGTGCTGGGGGATCATCAGGGCCCCCAGGGTCCCGGGGCACGCCATGACAGTAGTGGAATGCCCTGTCTGTGGGCTGCAAGGCAGGAAACTCTGATTATACTACAGGCGAGGCGAAAATAAAAGGGAATTCATTTTGTAAGACAGGCTGCAAAGTGGTCTCTTAAGAAGCTATAAAGTGCTGCTTAGCCCGTAATTGTTGCTAAATGGACTCCTAATAGCATTCACAGCCTCCTGCAAAACCTGTCCATTACCCGTAGCTGGAGAGGCAGACCCTCCACACATGCTCACACGGGTGCCCCTGCAAGTAAGGGACCCGATCTCTTCCAGATCAGACTCACTCAGCTATGAATCCTCTCCCGCTGGAGGCTAACTTTGGCCCCTTTTCTTATTCCTCCCACAAAAGGCAGCAGGAGAGGTTCAGTTTCCCAGGGCTCCCCCAGAACCTCAAAGGTTCAAGAAAGTTTGACTTGTTTGTCCAGTTCCCTTCACATCCCAGTGCCCAGCAGAGGATCCCAGCACACAGTAGGTGCTTAATCTGCATCTGATATGTACAAGATTGGATTTAAGGGTTCTCTCTCTCTCCAGCTCCAAGCACGCAGCCTGGCGCACAGTAGGGCCTCGACCCACATCTGCTGAATGGATGGGGCTCAGCATTGAGATGGAGCTCAGAGACCTCATGGAACTTGACCTCTTGCAGAGGAGGAGCCAAGACACACACAAGACAAGCAGAGTCTGGGTTCCGCCCACGTGTATCTCAGTCCCCAGCTGCTGCTCTTCTGCCCAGAGGAGACCAGCAGTGTCCAGAATGCTGGAGCTAGAAGGGGCTTTGGAGAAATCCAGTTCAGCCTCTTCATCTTATGGATGGGGAAACTGAAGCCTGAGGAAGAAATAGGATCTGACTAGAATCACACAGCACAGCCATGGTCAGTTAGGGCCCCATCTTTAGAGCTGCCGGCTTCTTACCTCCAGCAAAGTGGGGCTGGGCTGGGCTTGCACAGACGTGGGGAACCCCATCTGCTCCCTGGAACTTTGCTGCAAGGTGCCTGGGGAGCTCAGGGGATGACAGAGGGTGCTGCGGCATCTGGCAGACCTGGGTTCAAATCTCGGCTCACTCTGCTCTCCTGGCTGGTGAAGAAGAGCTGTGCCTGAGCCTGGGCTGGGGTGCTTCCTGGGCATTTGCCTTGCTCCCCTCAAGAAGAAACTGCTGTAGCTCAGAGGGAGGGGGGCCCTCAAGGAAGGTGCAGAGTTCATGGCAGAACAAGGGTTCGATTCCAGTTCCATCTCTGGAACAGAGCCCAACATGGGGTGAGGACAGCTGAGGGAGCAGGTGAGGCTGAGGATGTGGGTGCTGTAGGTATGGTGGGGGTAGGGGGGTCAAGGCTGTTCGTCAGGAAGCTCTTTACAGCAGTAAAAGTCAAGGAAAGGGTGGAGGGGTGCGGGAAGATTTGCTTTGGAGAGCTGACATCCCATTAAAAAGTGCCACAAAGACCACCTGGACAGCCCCCCGTGAACGGCAGTGCACATCAATCCTCATGTTCATTTAACTCGGCGATGCGACCTTGGCCCCTGCAGAGCCTGCCAAGTTCACGTGCACACCAACTCCACTGAGCCCAGTAATCTGTGTCAGCGTAACCATCCAGCCCTCCAGTGCCCTCCCCATCGAGCCGTCTGGCGTTGGCGACTCCCTTTCTGGGTGCTTGTCAGTCTACAGAGGTTTTCCCAGGCTCTGCGCTGCTCCAACCTTTCCATTAAAGTCACCGTGAGACAGGAAGGAAGGAAAGGGGCAGGGCACAGCGATTAAAGGAATGACATAGCAATTAGCACCAAGATGGCAGGAAAGTCAACTCCCAATAGACCTGGAGGCCCAGGATGACAGGAGATTTGACCCCTGGTGGACCTTGAGCTACATTAGACGTATTGTAATGTACTAGCCTGGTGAGTGACACACCCACAGGCGCCAGGACAGTTCCGAGGCTGACCATGGAAGGTCAAAGGGCGGTGGCCCAATTTCTGGGAATCCTGCCTCTTCCCCAAAGTAGCTGGAACAATCCTCTCACGTGTCAGCACATGACAACCAGCAACGCCGCACCTCACTCTCTTGCCTTCCGAGAGGCCCACACTCTGTCTATGGAGGGTACATCTCTCTAAATAAATCTACTTTTACTCAACTGTGGCTCACTCTTGAATTCTTTCCTTCACAAAGCCAAGGACTCTCACTCGCAGGGCGCGTCCCAGGGACTCAGCTGAGACTGGGACATGGCCATCCTCTCGCCCCCCTCCCCCATTTTTTCCTGTATCAACTGTCAGAGCATCTATCGGTCCCTGCTTTGTGCGAGCAAGTGCCAGGCTCTGGGTTCCAGTCCCCGATGTCATGATTCTCTGTGTGAGATGTGGCAACATCCCCTTTCCCAGGAGGAACCTGATCTGGATGGAGTTAAGTATGTAGCATGGCGCTGCCCAGGGCCCTTCCTCTGACCTCATTCTGGGGTCCCGAGGTGGCCAGGAGGCAACCATGGGTTTGCAAAAGGGCCTTCTCACGGAACCTGGTGGGGGTGGCAACAGCCTGGAAACGTCAAAGTCCCCTGCTCCACAGCCAGGCAGAGAGCAGAGTCAGGGGACACAATTAGACCAAGAGGACAGAAAGTAAATCTCAGATGAAAAACCGAAGCCAGATCAAAGCCAAATCAGCAAAAAACAAACAAACAAAAACAATAAAAAACAACAACAAAACAAACGCTGCAGCAGATCAGGACTGCTCATCACTGCTTTCCAAGGACTCCAACCCAAAAACAGATTCTCCCCTTGCTCTGCCTGGAAGGATTCTGCCACAAGGAGGGGAGATAGAGGCACCAGGATTAGCTTTCTCCCCAGACCAGCTGCTCCTTTAAAACTCATTCATCAAACTGGATCCAGGCGGAGCTGAGAAGGGTGGGAAAGGTAAACATCATACCCTGCCTCTGCCGCCCTCTGTGTTCCCAGAGGAGCAAGGGGGTAGCGGCTTCCACTGTGCAGAGCGAGGTGCCCGGCACAGCACGTACCTTTCTCTTGTTGGTCGGGCAGATGTAGAAGTTGTCGATGACGGTGGTGACACCGGGCTGGAGGGTGAGCTTGGTGTAGGATGTCCCAAAATCCGAAGACCTAGGGTACAGGATGACAGCTGTTAGCCACGTGCGGCTCCAAGTGCAGGTTTATTGAGCCTGCATGGTGTCCAGCACAGGCTGGGCACCAGTGTGCGTGCAGTGCCCAGGGCACCCCGCTGTGTAGTCCTCTTCCCCCGCACCGGGGCTGCATTTCCCAGCGACCCGGGAGGAGGCCGGGGCTCCTGCAGGACGCCCAGGACTTGCCCAGGTCTGGAGCTGGGAGGTGGGGCCAGCCTTCCCAGCACA